CCCCCCCCCCCCATGTTTAGCAACTCAGGGATTCCCAAGCAAAGGTGGTTCAGACAGCCACTCTAACTGACATGCAGATAGAAATCTGTAGTTCCTGTTTCTAAATATGATGGAAACAAGGCTGGTTCCTCTGGAGGGATGGAAAGGGGCTGGGCGGTTTTTATGAGAAAACAAGAGGATTAAAAAAAGGAAAAATACAGCATCCGTACTTGAGTGGGAGAAGTTATGGAAAATGTGAGCAAGGATTGTATTTCTCATCTCTCTTTTTTTTTTTCATACTTTTTCTTAAGAGAGAAATTGCACACTGATTTCCCTGTGGGCGTTGTGGTCAGCCTTTCGGGTGGGAGAGGATTTTAATGGAAGTTTTTAACCGGCAGTATTTTATTTTTGTTTTGTTTTTAAGGCCCCATTTCCTCCATCACAAACACATTTTCCAAACTGGCGTACTGAGAACTCATTCTGGAGAAGATCAGTGGAGAAAATTAAGTTTCAAGCCTGAAGTGGCTGATTCCTGATCTGGGGGAAGGACAGGTAAACATCAACCATCTTATTTGGGGTGAAGAAACACCTAGCTTTTCACTTTTAAATTTGCACATTTGCTCCAAAAAGGTTTGTGTCCTTGATCTATCTAACTGAGGATAACACTCAATTAGTTTCAACGTTTCTACCTGGAAACGTTGAATCTGAGAAATTCTTGCATGAAGGACAGTGCTGTTCTCTTGGCTAACCTTCCTCTGAAAACAAAGTTTCTAGTCCTCATGATTCCATATAAGGGCTGATGTATGCGAGAAGCTGCCTGCCAGCAAATCAGACCTTTGGGGCCATTAGTATAGACCCTGGGATTTTTCAGGACTGCAAGTCTTTCCCAACCACACCTGGAAATTCTTGGATTTAAAGTTGGGATCCTTGACATACATAGCCTGCCCTTGCTCTACAATCATGATCCTCTCCCCGCAAGGGCTACGTAGAACCTCCATGTCCAGGAGCAGTCTGTTGCTGAGCGCTGTACAAATCTACTTTTCGGGATCCTATGGTAGGGAAGGACGCAACACGCACGGAGAACATGAAATTGGAAGCGATGGAGACTGTAGGCCTGAAGCTCCCTTGCTGCTTCAGAACCACTCGCCAAAAATCTGTAGGCTGTGATCGACAAGGGATGTGCGTTTGAAAAATCTTTATTTGCTCATGGGGAGAGACCTCCTGTGGGTCTTCACGGGACGCGTAACACCCCAGATCCCCCCGGCCCACCCCAAGCATCAACCTCATCTCTTTCGATTGCTCTCGTCGGCACATTCCTGGAAGAATTCGTAGCACAGAGATGCGGTCAGTGCCAAGAAAACGGCGTACTCTTGGAAGTCCAACTCCTCGTCTCCGTTGTCATCGAGTTTCTTCATCAAGAGCTCAAAGCCGCGCTCGTCGATCTTCCCCTGCGAGAAGAAGAGGACAGAAGCAATGTTGAAGTCAAGTTTGGCATCGTTTTGCCAGGAGAGAGCCTGTCTGGATGCTGGGCCCTGCTGTGATCTGAAGGGAGGTGAGCACGAGCGACAGTCACCGCTCGAAGAGGTTGGACGTCCAAATCGAGCTTCGAATACCTGACGCAAGCGAGCCAAGGCGTTCACTCTAAAAACTTACTTAGGCATCTCCTGAAGTGGGTGGAGCCCTACAGTGCGAGGCATAAAATCCTTCCTGATCTTGGATGTTTTCCCCAGAAAAACAGAATTTCATAGACCCTCACCTTGACAAAGTTGGGCATCTCCTCGCGAAGCAATTCCTTCATCTCCTTTTTGTTGAGTTTGTATCTGTCACCCTCCTTCGCGGAATATTTGTAAAAAGTTTCCACCATCCGTCCTAACGCTTCTTCCAGGGGAGTGTCCATCTTGGGCCCTGGGGGTGGGGGAGAAGCAGAAGAAGTTGAGATTTAGGACCCAGCTTTATGGCCAGCAGAAATCACCCCAGACCTTGGGTCTTAATGAAGACTTCGGGCCTTAAAATCTCTGATGCTCAACCATCTTTCTGAGTCTAATACAAAGTGCGCTTCCAAACTGTCACGAAGCATCTCGTGTTACGTTATGGCCACATGTCCTACTTTAGACAGAGCATCTGAGCCCCACCTTCTCGGTTTGAAGGGTTTCCAGATTAAGTTTGGTTTAAAAAGTTTGGGAGAAGTTCCCCCAACTGCCCATCAGCTGTTCACAGCATTTCGCAGCAGCTGTGAGCTGATCCCCCCCCCAACCAAGCTGTAGAAATGCAAAAAATTACAGCAAATGTTTACAAGGGCTGACTCAGTCCGTGCCTCTTGAAGAAGACCACGCTTGCACGCTGACGTTGACCCTTTGCAACGCACGTGCGAGAGAGCTCACGATTCGATTTTCTAAAGAGAAAGATCTGGGCCTGAAAGCACGCATCAAAGAGGAGCGTGTTCAAAAGCGCGAAGGAATCCGCTGGCCCAGGTGAATTACAGGAGGAAAAGTGAACAACCTGAGATAGACGCCGGCTTTTTAGGGTGAGTTGCTCTGGGCCAAGCTCGGAAAATGATACCAAAGGTGCTTCTTATTGGGAAAATGAGAAACGGGGCGAAACCCAGTTGAAACAAAACGCATTGATTAGGCATGCTGTATTTGGAATTTCAAATGTGACGGGAGTGTGTCCAGACAGCGCACAGCAGCACGGGCAAATTCTCTGCAGGGACCCCTTCCTTCTTAACTCCTTCCAAAGTCCTGCAGGATTGGGGATCGACCAAGATGCCTCAAATAAATCTTGGCCTCTTGGCACCAGATCAAGCACCTGCTCTTTCCCCTTACAAACAAATCTAGGGAACCAGTCATTGCAGGAAAGGGAGGACAGAAAATCACTTACCGAGTTGAGATAAAGAGACAAAAAATGCAGGGATAAAGATAAGAATTCAGGCAGCTTTGGCTTCTGGGTCTCAGGACGCCTCCCGATCTTTTCTCGCACCTTTGCAATCTCTCTTCCCTCCCAGCCGGTTCTGTGTTCAAGCCTCACCCACGTTGCGCTCCTCTCCCCAAAGCAGTTTGCCGTGAGATCTTGGGTGCAATGAGAGGAGCTTGAACCAGTGGCCCCCCAGCAGCCTGCAGGGCTGAGCGAATTTGGGATTCTCATTCTGATTCTGAGAAGAAGAAGAGGAAGTTGTGCTTGTGGCTTTTATGGATTTTCTATTCTGTTTGAAAAAGGGAAACAAAGCCGCTTTCGAATCTTTTCAGCAGCCTTTTGACACGAACGAACGGGGCTCCTCCGGCAGCGTTTGGCTTTTTCGAGAGGGATTATATTAAGAACAAGAAAAAAGAAGACTGGAAAGGCAGATTTTGGGATGTCCTATTCCCGCCCCCCACCCTCCCCAGCTCTGTTTTGGTTTAACATCCTGCCGGCTTCTGGATTTTTTTTTCCCCCTCCTAAACTCGTCCATCCGGTTCTTCAATAGTTGCAGCCTCTTCTGAAACACCACCTCTGTCTACAAGCCCAGACCGCGCTCGAGACAAAGCCCCGGCCGCCTGGTGCAACCTGTTGGACAGGTGTGCCAGGAAAGCCACACCCAGGCCTTTGCAATCCTCTCTGATCTGGGGGACTCTAAAGGAAAGCGAATAGCCTTGATCATCGGTTTTCCATGATCCGCCATGCCACCCCCCTCCCCAAACCGAAGCAGATCCTTATTAAATATGGAAATCTCGATGACAAAATGAGTTGGTCGTTTCATTTCCTTGCTGGGAGGCCTCCCGTTCCCGTCTCGTTAGCTCTCCCATCCCAGATTCCTTCCAGCGGGGAACAATTTGCAATAGAATTCGTCGCCCTGCAGAATCCTGAAATAACTCCTCCTCCGTGCCCACCTACCTCACAGGGTTGTTGTACGGCTCCTGCGTTCAAATCCCCCCAAGCTATTCACGCCGCCGAGGCAATGTGCGGAATCCGCTCTTTTTAACAGCGATGGATCCCGGACTGGCCTGGCTGAGCTCTTCAGCCCAAACATAAATCAGATTTGTTTAAAAGGAGAAGTTGCTCATTTGGGACCTGTTTTGTAAACTGCCAGGTATCCACGTGGGGAAACTGTTTATAATACAAAAAGGGAGCTGGGTTGGGGGCATTCATGTTCCCTTGACCCCTTTCTGTGAGGTTGATGCATTCGAGGAGAAAGAACTGTTGCTGGCAAAGGAAAGACGCAGCAATGCCATTCTATTTTAGGATTCAGTTTAGGAACTAGAAAAAAAAGCAGAATTGTTTTTGCCGTTCCGGTTACTGGAAGCACAGGATAGCACCCCAAATCTGCTGTTCATCCCAAGCAGCTCCAGCTTGAATCTTTAACTTGGATCCCCAGCCTCCTGCATTGGGGAGGGGTCCTAGAGATCATTCATCCAACCCCCCCTTCAGGGCCCCTCTGATGGCCTTGGGGCAGATGCTGAAGACCAAGCTGTCCTCCTCAAACCTGGCCATCTTTCTCATTCTGGTTACGGACTGAATGGCTCTTAGGGGTTTGATTTGAATCGTATCTGCGTTTGGGGCCAACTTTTGACCGTGGGGGTTTTAAACTTGCCTATTATTCGGCTAAATCAGCTGGGATTATCATGGAATGTAAAAGGCAGGAACTGAACTGAACTATGAACTAAACTAAACTAAACTAAACTAAACTAAACTAAACTAAACTAAACTAAACTAAACTAAACTAAACTAAACTAAACTAAAACTAAACATCTGATAGAGGGCCATCCGGTGTCTGTTGGAAGATCTCCAGAGATGATGTGGCAACCTGTTCCACCGTCTACCAGCTCATATAATCAGGAATTCCTCCTGATGCCAAACCTGAATCTCATCCCTTGAGGTTTAATCCTCCCAGAAGCTGAAAATGCTGCCTTCTTTCCCTGAAGGGCGCACAACGCCCCTCCGCCCCTCTTTTGCATGGAGCCAGACACCCTTTCGACACAAACTCCAAGCTCAGGAGATGCCAAGATGCGGTGCCAAGGTTTGGCTCAGACTGGTTGTTGCGAAACCGGAGGGAGATCCGACAATTCAATCCGGTCGGCGGGGCAGCCGAGACTTTCCGCTCTTTTCAGCCCGACAGGCCGAAAGTCCGTTCCCCCCCCTGCTTTAATTTATGGATTGAAGACTTAAAAGGCCCCCCCCCCCCGACAAAATCGCCATGAAAAGAAGAAAAGGAAAGGAAAGGTAGCAGACACAAGAATAAAGCTTCGGTAACCAAACTGGGTGGGTCGAATGGTCCATTCTGCCATTCCTTCGTTGGCGAAGGGATTGTACAGGATCGAATTGGTGGCATGGCTAAAAAAAAATAGCCAGAAGCAGCGCGATGTTCGTCGGACTGCTGTTTATCGTAAATCAATAGGATAAATTTGCTTTGAAAGCTCTTAAGCCATTCCAAGCAGCAGTGCAAATGTGCGTTCTCTTTCTCTCTGTGTTGCACGCACGCACACACACACACACACACACACCACACCCTCCTTGGCATCCCCCTCTGGGGCCTGGGCGTGTGTCTGAGCCGGGGAGCAGCTGAGTCACGAGGCGATGACTCACGGAGGGTTGCGAAGGAGGCAGAAGACCTGAGCGCCATTTGGCCACTTTTTGGGGAAGAGAAGTTGCTCCCGGGGCAAAGCGTTCCCCACCCCACTGCTCGTTTCCCCATCTCAAATGCAAAAAAAGAGGAGTTTCAGCTTGTCTCGTGGGAATTAGGGGCGGAGGGAACTTCTTTTCCCTTGCGAAAATTTGCAGGCGGCTTGAGAAGGAAGCCCCGAGGCTGCCTTGTTCTGAGGTAGACTGCCTTTTGACCTGGAGGATCTCTTTCGCATCCAGGCAGATGGGAGCAAAAATTCATTTTTCCCTGTGCAGGCAGGGAGATGGTCCCTCAAAGCTCCTTTGAGATGAGAGTGTCTTCCTGGTTTTGGGTGCTTGCTTTTATTTTATTACTTTTACTTTTACTTTTACTTTTACTTTTACTTTTACTTTTACTTTTACTTTACTTTACTTTACTTTACTTTACTTTACTTTACT